AGAAAGAAAAATGTTATAAGCTTATTTGATTATTTTAATTTCCTTCATCAGTTGAGTGTTACCATTTTATAGCCATATTTTTCATGTAGTGGAAATACTGTCCAAAAAAGTATCATAATATGGTAATCACTTAATAGTAATATGGTAATCAGATAATAGTTTTATAATTGTAAGTACTGAATCAATAAATAATATAGTTTGTGGTGCATTATTAAACGCATTGTTTACGAATTTGAAAATCCTGTAGTGGAATATAAGGAAGTAAAAAATAAATAAAGTGGCAACTGCAAGGTGAAAAAAAAGCAATGGTTTTTTGACAACTCTTTACATACGTTTGCGCTCTGTGTTTAAAAATAAAGACTAAACCTCTGACACGAATGGCCGCCGCCGATTATATTAGTTTAGGTTTTGAATTTACAAATCATTGCATGTTGAAATAGGTAATAAATTAAGGAAAAGGAATATACTTATTGGATATTATATATGCGAATGTACATAAGTACATCGCATATATAATATCCAATTATACTTATGTAATTAATATTAAGTAATAGTAAAGGTTGCCGGATGCAGGCCGCAACCAACCGTCCCCGCTGGAAATCATTGGGAGAGGCCTATGTCCAGCAGTGGACAAGCATAGGCTGAGGTAACTAAGGTAACTAATATTAAGACAGTCATTATATCCAATTATACTCCAATTAAATAAGTATACATACTTATGTATAAGATGATTATTTCATGCATCAGACACATTAAAAGTGACAAAAATATAACCTACGAAAGTTCTACAGCTAGTGGACTATAATAATTCTTTATTATATATTTTTTATTTAAATGGCACATATACAGTGATAATTATCAAATAGTAATGTAAAGTCGATAGCCATAGACAAATTTATAAAATAAGTTAAACATTAAGTAGCTATGTTATAAAATACTTTATCTATGGACTCTTTTAAAGACAGTCCACAGATGTAGTGCGTAACTGAAAAAATCAATTGCTAATATCTTTTTATTTGCTTATTTGTTATTTGTCACGTCGTTGTTGTGTGTTGTTGTTGTTGTTTGCATTGTTTCATTGTTCGATTGTTTCACATTACGTTATTAGTTTTCTATGTAAAAGTAATAAATCCTTATAAAGAAAGACTTAACACAAGCAAAATCAGCTGATGTTTCTAAAATAGACGTGTTTATGATGATCATAAATTGTGTAATACCTACATATAATTCTTTTAAATCTGAAACCCAGAAATAAAATTAGATAGGTAAATAAAAATAGTTTAGAACTTCCCTCGGTAATTAATATAAGTTATATGTTTATATAAGTAGGTACCTATATTTTTTCATTCATAGGCAATACCTCTTACGGATAAATGCCTACGAATAATAATTTCTCTTGAAGCGTAACTAAGCCAAAAAAATGATGCCTCGAAATATCAGCCGCGGCGGGCGGGGCGTAAAATATGCGCAGGCACGGCGGATCAGTCATTTCATTTCGCAAAAATAACGCCATGTGTAGTGAAGTAGCCATTCACATATGAAAAACACCGGAATCACCTTTCATAAGTAAGTAAACAAACATTTTGTTATCCCATACTTGACTCTGGTAAGTGTTATGCAACATGCGAGTTTTTATTTTTATGCAGTATCTAATTACTACTCACATAAAACACGTTTGTTTTTAATATTTAGGATGATATTATGCAAAAGTATAATATATTTAATTACCATAGATTCCCAGCAAATAAAATCCAGCCTGAAAAATGGGTAACCGCGGCTCGTTTGGAAAGAAACTAATCTGTCGATGTCGTTGTCTAACAAATATAGTAGAATATGCAGCATACACTTTCGAAGTGAGGACATAATATACACTCTTATATCGGAAGGCGTAAACGATTAAAAAATCTGCACTATTTGCACTTCTTCTTTCTTTTTGAAAGACGACTCCCGCACTAGGAATAAATCCTGTGCCTCGGGGGACTTTACAAATAACATGAAACGGACAAAAAGAACTCCCAGACTCAGAACAACAATTTGAATCACAAAAAGTGTCGTCCCATGTGGGGATCGGACCCACAGCACTCAGCGTAGTGGTGCGCGGCGTGGCGACCTCTTAAACCACTACGCCATCCGTGCAGTTGCTGTAATTTTAATATTTCGATTATACGATTTTCAGTCCCCTAGTACCGAATGCACCATTGACCTGCATCATCAATGGTGCAGAGGAGACAAATTAGTTTCGTTTGCATCATTAATATTAATACAACTACTTCTCCATACTTTACTCGTTTATTCCATCCAGTCCTACCAGTAGTTCGATTATCGAACTGTTTGGAAGTTTTTTCTAAATAGACTGGTGTCACCCACAATAGAAATTAAATCAGTTATTGATAACCAAGTTTTTAGGTATAACTCGATTCTAAATTGCAGTGCGGCCTACATATTGGTGGATTGTCGAATACTTAGCTCTGCAGCATACGCGGTTTATAAAATTCATCAATTAACGGATGTAAAAACGACTAGACTGGTGTATTTTAGCTATTTTCATAGTGTAATGTCCTATAGTATTTTGATGTAGGGAAATGCTGCTGACATTCAAAGTATCTTTGCGTTGCAAAAGAGAGCTATTCGCGCAACCTATAATTTGAGTTATACGCAGTCACTGAGGGATAAGTTTAAAGAAATTGGTATTTTAACAGTCGCATCTCAGTACATATATGAAAATTTAGTGTATGTTAAGAAAAAAATTCGTTTATTCACAAAGTGTAACGACATTCACCAAATAAACACTAGAAATAAAGATAAACTCGTGTTACCAACCACTAGACTTCAAAAAGTAAGCAAGTCTTTTCGATTTCAGGGTGTGCGATTCTACAATAAAATTCCAAGCAAATTTCAAGTATTAATTAAGTCTTCAGTAAAACAAAAACTATGTGAAAAGTCTTACTACACGCTTACAGATTATTTAGATGACAAATTTGCTTGGGATTGATGCTGCTCACTCCCGCATTTACTATCATTTCCTATGATTGTTGTTATGCTTGAAAGTGATGGACATTTATTGTATTGTTGTATTTCGTATTTCGTTTGTTTTCAATTTGTTTATTTTTTTTCATTGAGCTTGAAATGTATAGTTTTTTTTTGTAAGTATGTAAATGTGAGTATAGTGTAGGCTTGTAATGTTAGTTCATAATTAGTAACTTTCGTTGCGTTTCAGGTCGTTGATTTTGACTAAGTAATATTGGTTAGGCTAGAGGATGGCCAGGCTATGCCTTCTGTATGGACAGGCTGACTCAAAACTGTGGTCCTTTCTGCAAAAGGCCTACCCAGACTCTACACTGTACTCGTACAGTTTTCTTTAACTTTATTTCCGGACTGAAAAAAAGACACCTCTGTGGTTTGTTTCGGCGTTTCTTCCCAAAGTGAGTCTTAGGAAATGCCGGCTCCACCTAGCTGTAAAGTCCGACTTGTAAAAATATCTGAAAAGATTTACTTACAGAAATAAATATCATTTCATCATTTAATTTAAGTTAAAACTTTAATTGCGGAGATTGATTGCCGAGTTAGGGATAAAGGTGGTGACGCTCCGGCTCGTTCCTGGTGCCAAGGGATGTCCGTAGCAATCCACTCAATCCAGCGAGGCAACGCTGACAGTATCATGGGCACCCTAGCACCGGGAGCGGCGAGCGGCGGGTTATATGATTTTCCTTGAATTGTATTATTAATTTGCATAAATATAGTATTGGTATGCAATATAATAAATAATATTTATTATAAATACATTTAAAATGTGATGTATGTTTTTTTTTATGTTAGAGGTGGGAAAAAGAAAAAAAAAATGCAACTTTATGAGAGCAAGGTCGCTCGGTGGAAGCTATCTTTATAATACTATGTCTATTTAAAAATACAAAATGAAGACCTATTATATAACTATAACACAAGGCGCCTCATAAAAAAATCTATTAATTGTAAAGTCTGTGTCAGTGTATAGTTAAGAGTAAGTACTAATACATGTACCTACATTAGTGCTGGACTAAAGGGTAGTTCTCCATAAGGGGGGTTTCATCGATACTTACCAAAACAACTGTAAAATGGCGTGTACGGTCAATGTTCAAACCTTTATTACTAATTTTTTCTTGTTTTAACCAGTATTAGCTACATTACATGGAAACGTAAAATAATATTTTGCCATGTCTAATCTATTCATTTTAAAGGAAACGAAGAAATTGTAACCATTTGAAGTGTTGCCGCTTTGATTTTCTTCTTTGTGGAATAGGAGGCCAACGAGCAGACGGGTCACCTGATGGAAAGCGACAACTGCCGCCCATGAACGCCTGCAATTCAGGAGTCACAAGCGCGTTGCCAGCCTTTGAGGAAGGAGTACGCTGTTTTCTTGAAGGTCGTATCGGTCCCTAAATACCGCAGCCAAACTTGTTCCACAGATTGGTAGTGCGAGGCAAAAAGTGTCTTCAAAAGCGCACAGTGGTGGAGCGCCAATTATCCAGGTGGTGGGGATGAAAATTTTGCCGTAAGGAACGATGGCGGAAGGTTGCGGCCGGTATTAGTCCGAACAATTCCTCGGAGCACTCTCCATGATATATACGATAGAGAAAGCAGAGCGAAGTTAGATCTCTACGTAACGCCAAGGGATCGAGCCGGTCGCAAAACTTAAAAAACAAAACCAGTTTTCTTCAGCGTAGATTTGTTTTTCTGTAGGTGTTCCTCCTCTTCCATAAAAAGGGTGTGTACATACATGTTCAGTAGATGATTTTCTATAAGTGATTGATTATTTCTTTGTACAATTGATCGATCTGACTCGAAGGCATATCGATTTAACCGTCTAACAGGTTGTCTTTAAAGGCAACGAAGAAACATACTCGGCTCTAGTTTAAGAGGAAATAAAAATAAGACTCATCAAATCAATTAAAATTTACAGATTTTTTTTATTTACATTTAGTCAATCTTCATGTATAGCAGCCTCATTGCAAGCAATCGTCAATTTATACTTCAGATATTTTTTTTGACGGTTTTCTAGAAGTAATTTTATCTTCATTAGCATTGGCAACAGTACTAAACATTAATAAGCTGGACGTGATACCTTTAGACTGTGGTTTAACCAATACTTTGGCATCAGAGTCTTCATCATACTTGAAACATGATGCTTGACTCGGCAGTATGTCAACAGAATCGTCAGGTAAGACACCACAAAATCTTTTCGGCATAGTAGGCATCTGGACATACTGATCTTTATACGTTTCAAATTCAGTTACCTTTTTATCGGTTTTATTATCTGAATGTTTAAATGCTGGATCTTTGGGATTTTGAAATAAAGTTGCTAATGCTACATTAATATTTCGACTAAAAAGATCACTATAATTTTTAGGTACAGTTGAAAATTTTAATTTAGTATTTTCTGATTTTGTGTTACTTTTAACTTTATCAAGTCTTTGTGAAGTGTGAGTAAGTTTAGAGGCGATCGATTGATCTCGGCTAACGCTTGTGTCGTTGGATGCTTCATATCCTTGGTAGGTGCTCAGTTTATGAGGTCTATGGGCACCAAATGTATCTCTCATGTCTGCCTGTAAATATTGAATATCTCATTAAAATTTAGAACAAACTAAGTTAGCTTAAATGTAACTTCCACTCGTCGGTAAGTGGATACCGAAATATAGGCAGATTCAATAAATTGTAAGTGCAGTCAACGGTCATAAATGCACTAGCACCGTAATGTTTATATTCGCATTCCTGTTCTGTGCCTATCTGTGTGTGTGAGATGTTTCAATGCATACACATAAATAATATTACCAAGACGCATACACGAAAGTCTAATGTTGGTTGGTAGTTGAATAGAATTATATATACTCGTAGGAAGATTTATTCTTCCTATAAGTGAAATTACCTGGGTTTTAAATATTTTCTTCGCGGTAATAGCGTCAGAAATTTAAAGTGTAAAGACGAATCCTCGATCAGGCAGGCGGTAAAAAAATGGAAAAAATCGTAAAAATAGTTATTTTTTTTGCGTTTTGCACGAAAAGCGTAAAATATACAAAAAAGTCAAATAAGAAAAAGATAAGCAATAAAAAGATGAATGGAAGCAGTTTTTTTGAATATGCAGTTGGCTAATGGAGAAGTATCTGTTGAGCATTTCTAGAAAAAAACAAAATAAATTTACAGGTTTCATCATTTTGTTTTTTTCTAATCGTTTTTTTTAATTGACAATAGAAAGTGAAAAATAGCGTTCCTCGTATACCACGAACCTATAATGTATTTTTCGAAACTAGTAAATCCTAAAAGATCCATTTCTCGTAAAAATTTGTTGAGTGTATTAAAGTGGACATGAAAGTGCACAAAAATCCACCATGGATCTTTTCAAAGTATTTTGGTGGACAGAGGCATCTGCTCCAGCCATCCACATTGAGTTAATATTATTTAAACATAAAATTTGTTTAAATAGTTGTGTGAAAATAATAAATCTAAACACAGAAAACAACATCAATAGTACATATTTCACTGCAGGAATGGAGTAGTGCATTAAGCGGTCGCCACGCCGCTTACTATTACGTTGAGTGTTGTGTGCCACAAAAAAAGCGTTGGGTGCCTGTTGTCAATACTAAAAAGCACCCCACGCTTTTTTCAAATTTATTTTCTATTTTTTAGTTTGGTTTTCTATAGAAAGCGTGTTTTTTAGTTTTTTAAAACTATATATATATTTTTTAAATTAGTATATTGTCATCGGTCCTCGATATATCTACAAAGTTTGAACGAATTCTGACCGTTTAAAGTCAGTCAAAATCACGCCCAAAGGAGTCGGTTACAAACATACAAACAAACATACAAGTCAAGCTAATATAAAGCGTATAAAACTAAAAATTGATGTTGTTTTTTGTTTTATTATTAGATTAAATGAAAACGATGATGACGTTGATGATTATGATAACGATGATGAAGATAACGAAGAAGTTCAAACAGAGAGGAAACAGAAAAGTGACATTGAAATGGATCTATGATTAATAAAATACTCTAACATAAATCGTTTGCCCATTACTTAGTCCTCAAATACCAACAATATAAATGAATGAATAATGAAACTAGTGTCATGTAACTATTAATTTACTCTAACATTGTGTTACAAACATTCACAATTTATCTTGAGATTTACAGGCCCGTTGGTTTAGTGGTTAGTGACCATGACTGCTAAGCCGGAGGTCGTGGGTTCGATTCCCGCCCAGGACAAATATTACGTGATGAGCACGATGATTTGTTCTGTATCTGGGTGTAATTTTTCTATAATATGTATGTATTTAGAAATATATAAGTATGTTTATCAGCAGTCTGGTTACCATAGTACAGGCTCTGCCTAGTTTGGGATCAGACGGCCGTGTGTGAGATGTGTGGATATATTATTATTTATCCGGTCACAATTCTCTCCGTGTATAGTCGTGTGCAAGACTGACGTACTACCTTGTCCCCGCCACCGTCTGTCACCCGCAGGACGGTCGCGCACAACGTTGACGGACAATAACTCACTTCTACTTTGCGCCTGATGACGAATGGTGACTGTTCGAGCCCTCAGTGCCTGATCGCTTTATACTTTAATTTTTTGAAAGACATTTTTGAAGAGATGTCATCGGTTCTTCAGGATTCTGCGCCTTCGCATACGAAAATGAAAAAGGGGCCCGTCTATTTCAACAAGGACGAGAGAGCTGTGAAGACGACCCTCGCCCGGGCCGCCTTGTCACGGTACTGGACCGAAGAAAACACCCAAACAGTCGAAAAAATCGTTCTGGCCGAACGGAGAATTAAATTGTGGCAGATGGATGAAGAATTGCAGGTTAGCAAAGAATGAGTTGGAGAAATTTTACAGTAATATTTGAATATGAGAAAAATTACCGAAAATGATAAGCAACGTCGACTCGCAAGTTGCAAAGATTTTTTGGAGCTAGTCGGCGATAACAAGGAAACATTTTGCAATGGATAGTCACCGTAGATGAAACATAGATTTGCCCATATGATCCGGAGTCCAAACAAGGGTCCATGCAATGGATAAAAAAAGGAGAAAGGCCGCCGAAGAAAATCAAGGTGGAAAAGTCCGAGCTAATGGCGACTGTTTTCTGGGATAGCGAGGGAATTTTGCTTATCGACTATCTACTCAGGGAAACAACGATAAATGGGCAATATTACGCCAATTTATTGATTCAGGTTCGCGAGTACGGAAACATACAGAAATGACGTGGGAAACTGAAGTGCGGAGTGCCCTTTTTGCAAGATAATGCGCCCGTTCACACCGCACATGTTGCGAAGCAATTACTAAAAGACACGGGGCTTTCAGAGATTGACCACCCTCCATATAGCCCAGGCCTAGCACCTAGCGATTTATTCCTGATTTCCAATTTGAAAAAGGACTTACGGGGCCGGAGATTTGCAGATGACAGCGAAATGAAAGCTGCGGTTGATCGTCATTTTGAAGAGAAAGATACAGAATATTTTTCGGTGGGTTAAAGGCATTGTATGCGAGATGTGAACCTTTTCTATGAGGTTTAGATCAGGGGATCGCGCTGGCCATGGAATAACCCTAATATTAGTAGATTGACGGAACCATTCACTAAAAATACCAGCAAGGTGTATCGCATAGTTATGTTGAACGAAATAAGTTCACTAAATTGAAGGTAGCAAGCACACAGCACAGTACCGTTTTGTCGTTCAAAACCTCGATATAATTGGAGTTTAGTTGGTCTGGAACGCTATAATGTTAACTCTGGTTTAAATATAGATATTCAATATAAACATAAGTAGCAATTATTAACACTAATTCTCGTCACTAAGTTCACTAACCAAGGTCAAAAGGAGAGGGTGTTTTTCAAACAAATCAATAATTTATTGTTTCAAATCTACCCTCAACTTTTACTGACTACTAGCTTATCCTGAATCAAAGATTTATATACTTCGACTTCGTTACAATACGTCCAACCACATTCCTAGAATTCTCAAAAAGTTACTGTGATGTTGCACGAGTTTTGAAATGGCGGCATTTTCATCAGTGTCCACCGCAGCGCCAGGCGGACAGATAATAATTACGTTGAAATTAGTAACTAAAATCATACAAATGTAGCGTGTATATGTGTGTGATACACGTTAAAAGAAGAATGTCATAAGTCCAACTAGTTATAATGCTATAACTTGCTAAGTGCTACTGGACTTATGATCGTGACCGTATATTTAAGAGAAATACAAGGTGGTATATTATTCTAAATATACTCTCTGACTACATGCTGGGGTTGATAATGTTTTTACTACGCCGTCAAAACTGGATCACTCCACGAGATATTTAGGACACCTTTTATCATATGGTTTTTAAAGATACACTTCACAGTATGACTTCCCGAACTGTACCGTTATGCCGAGTGCCTCAAATTGATAGATGTTAGAAACTGTTTAATGAAAATAAATCTTAACCTGTGAAATTTTTAGTAATGCCAAGGAGTGTCATTTGTCATGAGTACTGCATGGCATATTTTGCATACTTTGTCAGAAGAACGATTGCCCCCCCAAGGAGATGAGGTTTTAGGCAGTCGGCCATTTAAGAAAGTTATAACAATTTCGTAATGAAATGAAGGAGTGCGTAAAAGAGGATATCGAGTGATCAAGGAGAATGGAAGGAGAAAACTCATTGTAAAGCCCCCAAAATTAATTTGGAAAAAGAGTAGGAAGATGTAAATACAAAGTAAATAAAACTAAATCAAAAAGCTGTACAAAATACAAAAGTTGTTTTTTAGTAATAATTATGACGACTTTAAATTTTTTACGTGTAGATAATACTCATAATGAATGGACGTTAAAATACCATAGTCCTGTATAGAAAAAATCCGGAGCGAAAAGAAAAGATTTCTAGTAAAAGATCGCGTAATTCCGGCGAATTAATCAGATCTATTGAGTGTACATTAAATAACACGTTATAGTAATAAAATCCGTGTGGCGACAACTAAGTTGCTAATTTTACATTACATATTCAGGACAACAGCTGTCTTGAATATGTAATGTACTATCCCAGCAATCTGTCACCACACTGCGAAGAGAAGGAAAGCTTGACACAAACTTTATACCAACCCATCTGGCCTTGACGTGGTATAGTAGACCAAAACCTCCTTTCTAAGGAGAGGCCTATGTCTAGCAGTGGACTATTTAAAGGCTGTTGATGTGATGAACAATAAAACACACTTACGCTAGACGCAGACGCGTAGCTCGCATGTGTAGATCGTTTTGCGTTCATCATCATCATTTGGGTGGACGCAGCAGGGGGTGGTGGTTGAGGAAGTTGAAGTGCAGGTACCATCCACTCTTCGTACAAGTCTATGCGAGGTCCTAAAACCGTCTCTGGAGCGGTACGACAGTTGGCTACAATCCATTTCTGCTCGTGTTCTGATGGAGACCTGCAATGGGAATGACATTTTAAAGGACTTTGGAAGAAAGGGCCTTCACAGGAGATGATGATGATGATGATGATGATGTTGACACATAGTATAAGCTCTGCTGGGTTTGGAACTAGATGACGTAGCGTGTCCGATGTCCCAAAGTATTATTATCATTACCTATATATTAATACGTGAAATTTCCAAAAAATATGGCTCACGGAAGCATATTACATTTAGGCTGAAATTTATAAAGCGTACTTAGACTTTGCTCAGACTTTGCTTACGCTAAACTTACCTAAGTTCCTGCTCAGTGTAATCTTAGCATTCGAATTTATAGTCCTCTTGGGCTAAGAATTTACTGAGTGTATGCTAAGCAAGAGCTCAGGAAAAATTTTTAAACGTTTCGATTTGCATAGCATATTAATTTAAATTCTTGGTATTTCAAAAATATATTATTTTTAAAATAGCTGTAATAACCTAAAATATTAGTAATCTTATAAATTTTATCATATTATTGTATTTCAATCAATTAACACCTTTAGTTTTCATTGATTTTAAGTGATAAAAGGCAAAAATAACACATGTACAAGTAAAACAAAACGTACGTATATTTGACTTGTCAAATGTCATAACAATATTTGAGGTTGTCTCGTCTCAAGTTCATTCGCAAATATATCAATTTCTTGTATTAACTTTTTATCTTGACCCTGGCACACCCTTACGGACTTCTGTTACAACGCTTTCGAACTAGATTACGGCTTTTCTTCCTGGACAATCGAACCATCTTTTCACATTGACTCTGGCATATTAATCGTAAGTAATCGCTAAGTCATGGATTTTGGTGACTTAGACTATGCTAAGCATTTGCTCAGCTTGAGCTAAGCATTATGACTATAAATTTCAACGCACACTTAACCCGTGAGGTAAGTCTGAGCAAAGTCTAAGTACGCTTTATAAATTTCAGCCTTAGAATACAATGTTTATATGCATAAGTGCAGAATGCTACAATTTTCGAACAATATTTGCTATAAAGTTTAGAGTAACTGTGCAGTACCAGGGATTTCCTTCCTAGGGTAAACCTGGTTCCCCAGTTACTGGTACCTGAGATACAGGTTTTTAGTCGGTTAGAGTCCAAAATAATCACCGGGGGGGGGGGGGGGGGGGGGGGTATCCGAGGAGATTTCCGAACAGAAAAAAAATTTGGTAAATGTGAAGTTTATGTTTTAATTGGTCGTAGTAAAAAAGTGTATTTAGGTGTACAAATAAGTTTCCGCCGTTCAACAAAAGATGTCCTTACTCTCTCTCTTGTTTAGGTTACGTTAAAATCGTCAGATGTAACATGTGATATCGTGAGTTTGGACATCTAGTAACAACATACACTTAGAGTATTAGTGACTCTTTATCCGTATCACATATTTCTTTTTGTGCAAAAATGACAAGTTTTGTACCGAAAAAGCCTCATTTGCGGGAACTGTTACTTTACTTCTTTAATTTGAAGAAAACTGCAGCTGAGGCCCATCGATTACTTATAGAAGTTTATGGTGAAGCTGCTTTGAGCGAGAGTTGTCGTGAGTGGTTTCAAAAGTTTAAAAACTGTGATTTTGATGTGGAAGACAAAGAACGTAGTGGAAGACCGAAATCGTACGAAGACACGGAATTGGAAGCATTATTGATGGAAGATTCGCGCCACGAAGAACTCGCACCGCTCGCACGTAAATAAATACGTTGTGCATTTAATGTAGATCAAAATTGCCTTTTACAGCATTATCATTAAAATGAATATCTTAGTAGACATCAGATTAAAATAACCGTTAGGTTGACTATAATAGCCGTTTACCGCATTGTGTTTGAAGTAATAAGATTTCAGCGGTCGATAATATTTTACTAGTTACCAGTACTTTTTATGCTAACAATATCTTTTTTTACATTACAAACAGGCACTTCACTTTTATTTATTTGTATGGTTTAGCCTAAATTGAAAAACATGATATAATTATGTTGTAGCTGATAAAGTTAACGTTAATTAATGACGATGATGGGCCTGTTGGTCTAGTGGTTAGTGAACCTTACTGGTAAGCCAGAGGTCATGGGTTCCTTTCCCACAAAGGTCAAATCATTGTCTGATGAACATGATCATGTGTTAGGGGTCTGGGTGGCAGATTGATTACTGCGGTAGGGGATAGGATTGCCGCCTGATTGCAATAAGACGCAATTGGGCCGCCACGACGTGATTGAGAGGGGGAGGGGGAAGTGTTTTCGATAGGATAGGGTCTAATTAGGCATGGTGTCAATTCGGGGAGAACCTGAAATAAAATGGTCCGGGTCCTCCTAGAGCAGGGCACCTGAGGCCGGCAGTCGGGGTAGTATTTAGTGGAATCACCACATACTCCTGGCTCCTGAGTCCCCGAGGAGCAGGAGACCCGAAGGAATTTTCCACCCCGTCAACAAAAGAAAGGGGTAACCAGCCTGCAGATTAACATACTTGTATACAACTAAATATATACATATTATAGATAAATTAAACCCATAATTTATCTATAATATGTATATATTTAGTTGTATACAAGTATGTTAATCTGCAGGCTGGTTACCATGACATGGGCTCTGTCTAATTTAGGATTAGGTGACTGTGTGTGCGATGTATGAGGTTATTATTACGTTAGGTTGCCGTGTGGTGACGGATTAAGAACACGAAGTGTTACTGCTCCTATTTATCCCGTGGGTGTCGTAAGAGCCGACTAAGGGAGCAAACTACGCAGGACAACAGCACTGCAAAGAGAAGGAAAACTTGAAACAAACCCTATACCTACCCGTCTGGCCAGCGTGGTGTAGTAGGCCAAAACCTCCTTTCTATGTTCAGTAGTATTACGGGCTGTTGATGATACTGATTATTACTATTATGACGTTATTATTAACGCGATCAGTTATGACGGTAATAGCTACTGGTGAAATCACAATTCATTAGGTCTCATTTTATTTTTTCCCCAGTATTACTTGAATTATCATTAGCCTTAATTGGCAAGTAATTTGCCTGATCGTATGTTAAGATATTTCATCATGGGTGTAAATAATGATATTTACATGACAATAAGTGATTTTACTCTTGGTATGCTAATAATTTATTAATTAAGTTATTGAGGGTCATCGACAGATGGTAAGTGGCTACCGTCGCCCATTGACGCCTGCAACTTACACTAGTGCGTTGCCGCCTTTTGAATCAAAATCGTGAAGAGAGTGATTGAGGTTGCCGGAGGTCTAATCCCCCTCAAACCGTGGCGGCGTGACGGCCCGAGGGGTTTTCCACACGTAAAAAAAAGGTCCAATCCCTCTTGATTGGGCCTCCGGTCCTCTCCACACAATTAGAGAGGGGAAGTTGGTTTGGGATTCCGGGAATATCTCTCATTCGTAATAAGCAACAAAATAATGGTTTAACATCGGTTTTAAAACTATAATTTCTTATCCGCATAAAAAGACCGGCCTATTTAAGGCGCAAAAAAAATCCTTATTTTAAATTATAGCGGATTATTGATTATTAATATTTATTGATGCTAACGTAAATTTAATATTAAGTTTTTAATAATGATAACACTCACCTCAACACGCAAGATAAATCATCAGCCTTATATACCGACAAAGTTTTAGGGTCATAAAACCCATCTCCGGTGTCGTAGAACCCGGGTGGTATCTCACGTGGCGGCATTTCAGCAGTAATGTTGGATCTGCCAGCTGGTTCGATACCATTATCATATTCCGCCGTATATCTGAAAAAAGAGAATGGATTAGGTTTCGGGGGCAGGAAGGGAACATCGCGCACAGGAGGGGGTCATCTATGAGTCGTAGATGGCCCGAGGTACGTCCGGGTACCAGGGCTTTCCTTTCTAGGGTACACTTAGTTCCCGGCTACCGGTACCTGTAGACGGCGTGCGGTTTTTAAGACAAGAATAAAAATGCAGATGTGAGATTAGGTGCAGGAAACATTAGCTGATAAAATACTTTGGCGTTAGGAAACCTTAACTGACAAAAGAAAAATAATAACGTGGCTAGAAACTAACTATTCCATATTTAAATATTTATTTATAGGCTGCTTAGCCTTTCTGTCCAGAGAGGTTAGTAATCCTGTCTGGTAACCCAGAGAGTTTGTTGGGATCGATTACTAAACAGAACAAACATTGTTTGATCAGCATGATTATTTGGGTGTAATTTATCTAAAATATATATGTCTTTAGACACATTTAAGTAAAAGCTTTTGACTGTGGCTGCGTCCACGTGCATGTCGGTTATCGCGGTAAATAGTAGCCTATGTCCTTCCCCAAGAATCAAACTATTTCCATACCAAATTTTATGTAAATCGGTTTAGCGGTTAATAATACCCCAAACAAACTTCCATCCCCTTTTCATCCCCTTAAAGGATGATTATTGAGATATAAACTATTCTATTTCCTTTCCCAGGACTCAAACTATCTCAGAAACCTATCAGTTAACGAGACTGAAATTATAGTCAACAAAATGTGGGCGGTAAAAAGGCCTCTGTATAACCCTTCGAGGTTGAAGAGTTTTATGATGTGTAAATCAACTAGTTACAGCGTTTGTTTCATAACACCATTTCATATGATACTAGCAGTTGCCGTTTGCTTTGCTAATAATAAATAAAGGCACCAATAAATTAAGATTTTAATTTTGAGAACTTCAAATTAGAAGTTGTTAACCGATTCAACTTGCTCGGCTTAACCATAGACACTCATATAAGCTGGAAGCCGCATGTCAAAAGAGTAAGAGCAAAAATTTCAAAATTCTCCTACAATTCTGGAATTCAAGAAGGCTACTGATCTGGCAACAACTCTGGTCACCTACGACGCTTATGCATATTCCTGGTTAAGCTATGGCGTCATTTTGTGGAGAAATAGCACAGATGCACCTACTGTATTTTTTCAACAAATGTTAGTAATGAGAATTTTAGCGAATATAGAAGAAACAGACACATGTAAACCTCACTTCCGTGCTGTGCCCGACAGGGTCCATAATTGTAACCTCATTATAAGCTTGACATCTGTATCACATTATGGAATGCAATAAATATACATTTATTGTGTGTTACATGAGTATCGAGTATTGCTCGCCTGATTATATTCTATTTCATGTCTCTAATATTGAAAATTACGAACTTCCAAACAACGGTTTATCCCTTTTGTAACCCCCTTAAGGGTTATTTTTTTAAATGTTTTCAACAAGAAAACATCAGCTGCCAAAAATTCCAAGTTTTATTAATCTATAGTTTATATTGTATGTTACAAATAATAATATGCATTATTTATATTTATTATAACATTGAGCTTTGAATATCCGTAAGCAAAACAAACGACCATGACAACAGCTGTCTGAACGAGAGGAAAAATTGCGCAAGAAATATCAGGTGAGCAATTCATTCCCACCTCTCTGTAAATGGGATGAGATGTAATTCCACATTAATATCTCGTTTGTGTAATAAATGAACGCAGCTTAAGGAAATAAAGGAATGTTATAAGGAGGGTACAGGTGCCGAGATATATTTGTATTATTTGAATCGGAGCAGATTTCAATTGTTTTTTTTAATGAAATGAGGTGTAAATGAGCAGTGACTACCGCCTCCTATGGACACACTCGAGACACAAGGCGTTATCGCAACTTAAATGTCCCCCTCCCATAGATTTAGGGGAAAGGTGCTGGTTAACCCTCACTTAGTAGGTGAAATGCATTGAAAGAATAACTTAACTAAGGTTTTCTGTGAGGCCGTGGTATCACTACGGTCGAGATGAAGACATACACTCTACAGCATGGTTCTCTGATAAGAGATAAAACTTGTTATATCAGTGGCGACTTCTACATAATACGAAACAGAAGCTTACTTCAGTATTCGTCTAACTACGGCGTAACTACTAATCCCATATCGGGCAATAAAAGTTCTCACGCCAGTATGTATACAAATTTCCAACGTCAACGCTAGGGCCGCAGACCGTCAGGCATGATAATCTCGCTGGGTCGGAGTATTCACACTTTGTATTGGAAGGATTTAAAATCCGTTCCTCTACAATACTTCATTATTCTCTAGCGAAGGAAGCCCACACTACAGAGTAAACTACTAAACATATATACAACTACAACTAAACAAATAAAATCCGTGTGGTGATGGATTAAGAATATGGAGTGTTACTACCTCTATTCATCCCGCAGGTGCCGTCAGAGTCGAGGGAGCAAACTACGCCTAAACTAACTAACTAACTAAACTTGAAACAAACCCTATATCAAACCGTCTGGTTAGCGTGATGTAGTAGGCCAAAACCTCCTTTCTAAGGAGAGGCCTATGTCCAGCCAGTGGACTAGCAAAGGCTGCTGATGATGATAAAATATAACTTCCCAAAATCAACCGTTAGACCGCTGCTCTCTAGCGCTTGATCAACTTGTCTCGGAGCACCTCCCTAAGTGTCAGAGGGACGAAACACTCGTTCCTCCTCATACCTGGTACTTATACAACTAAATCCACAAAGCAATCACAAATCGGTAGGACAGAACGACTGGACTCTGAAGAAATTTTATATTTATCTATAGAAATAGTTAATTACTTCTCTTGGCTCACTGATTCGTCATCGCAGTGCCTAAACCGCTGGGGCCACGAACTTGAAATCTTGGCAGCTGATACTTTTTATGTTGTAAGCACCTGCTAGGAAAGGATTTTTGAAAATTACACCCCTAAGGTGGTAAAATAAGGGATGAGTTGGTTGTATGGAAATTCGTTATTGTCAAAGTTAGAAACATAAAATAAAATTCACGCGAGTGAAGTCGGGGCAATAGCTGGTTAAATATATAGCTTTCTGCAAAACCCATTCAATATTTCAAAGCCACATACTCGTACTTCACAGAGTACTCACGACAAAAGGATTTGGTTAAATGTGGTGCAAATCCAAGGACAATACGGAGCGTAGTGGCTCTAAGATTGTAATCTTATTTTACATTCAATTTAGAAAATATTTGTTTGCATTTGTGTAACTTTCAAGCCTTTTATCGTGTTTCTTTCAAACCACGTTACTTTTTTCAAAGTAACTTTAACAAAGAATTGATTTTAAGCTTAACTAAAAATACGCTTGAGTAGTAAACCAAATTTAAACGTAGAAAATTATTTTTTGATTGCTAGTTTAGTTAATGTAGTAGTATGATGTATGTCATGCGGTGTTCCACAGGAGTCTGTTCTTGGACTCTTCTTGTGGAACATAGGGTACGACTGGGCCCTTCGAGCTGATTTTCCCCCGGGCTGGGTGTAATTAGTTATGCCGATGATACGTTGGTCACAGCCCGGGAAGCGAAATTTCAACAGGCGGTGCGCCTGGCTACCAGGGGAGTTTCTCTGGTGGTTGGGCGCATTGAAGCGGTAGTGGCCCTGGATAAGACGGACGCCCTCGTAGGCCCCGTCCTGGTCCTCTCCTTGGCGTCACAATTGTTGTCAACTCGGTACTCGTACCGGTTCAGGCCCAGATTAAGTATCTAGGCTTGATCCTCGACGGGAGGTGGCTCTTCGATGAGCTTGCTTCAAAGCTGATCGGCGCTGTGTCTGCCCTTGGGTGGTGGACCGAGCGTCGAGACGAGACGGCTGTACACGGGAGTTGTCTGGTCAATGGCACTGTACAGTGCACCGGTCTGGCTCTGACCGCCCAGGATAGGGCACACCTCTGAGGATATTGGCGGTTAAAGTCATACGTGGTTACCGCACCGTTTCGACGGAGGCGGCGTGCGCACGGGCCGGTACTCCCTCGTGGGATTTGGAGGCGAAAGTGTTCGGGCGAAAGTGTTCGGGCGGATAGTGGCAGTCGGCCTTCGCCTGATGGAGTACGCGAGTGGCTTGAGACCGCTCGCCAAGCTACAATGGTTTGTTCTTTGTCACGACTGGAGGCTCCACGTGCTGGATTTGGTCCTTTCCGGGCACAGCTGCTTAGACTCACTACACACTCACTACATTCATATTCTCTCTTTAAAAATTGATAATAATGTCATGTTAAAATCAATTTTGATGTGTTCAGTTCTTTGTTTTTAATAAAATAAAAGGCGTTTGCCTTCCAACTTACCTAATAGCAAGGTAAGGTGGTAATTCACTATACTTTTTAACAATGCAGGATTGTTACTATCGTGAATAATTAACGCAGACACAGTGATTGGTTTTTGTTGTTTCCGCAATAAAAGTATGGAACCTCAGTCTAAGTCTATTAGCCTAAATAAACAAATGGTGGAATGAATCTTATAAAAATCGATAAGCATTAAGATTTTGCGCCATTGCGTATTTTGCGAGAATGCCGTAGTCAGCCGTGAGCATATCGTCGTTGACACGGGCTCTATGGCCACCAGAGATTAATCTATTTTGACATTGAGTTATTACATGACTAATTCATAAGAATTACTTAATTCTGTAACGTTCAATTTTAGAATGACCGATTGTGAGATTTATGCTGAATATTTACTACGATAGATGTAATACGATACTACAATATACACACAATACGGTCTTAATAATTAATAGTTGTTCACTAATAGTTTGACGGGCCTGTTAGTCTAGTGGTCAGTTAGCCTGATTGCTAAGCTGGAGGTCGTGGGTTCGATTCTCGAACCAGGACAAATGATTGTGTGATAAGCACGACCATTGGGTATCTGGGTGTAATTTATCTATAATATGATTAATTACACCCCATTACTTATGAATTTAGAAATACAATAGTATGTTTAACAGTCTGGTTACCCTATTTATTTATTTTTTTTTTCTGTGCGGAAATCCCTTCGGATACCACCCGCCGGTGGCTATGTCGGACTCGAACCGACAAAAACCGCACGCCGTCTCAGATAACTGTAGCCAGGGAACCAGGTGTACCCTAGAAACTAAATACCTGGTGCCCCGACGCACATCGGGCTATCTACGGCGGGTAGATGACCCCGTCCTGTGTGGGAACCCCCATATTTACTTTGTGCTCCCGAAAGGGCGGGCGCGCTCTGCAGCGCATCTCGCCGCCACCCCGGCCTGCTTCTGCTAGGGTGACAGATGGCCTCACCTGTCTGGTTACCCTAGTACGGCCTCTGCCTGGTTTGGGATCAGACTGCCGTTTGTGAGTTGTGTAAAGTTAATATTATTATTTATGCACCTTTAAAGTAGAAGTATGCTAAAAAAATAAGAAGGTACCTTCTATCAGGCATCTTACAATAGCCCCAGTTTTGTTCCTCGTATATCAATCCATCAGGAAAGATTAATTTTCTATTAGTAATGACCCCCTTTTTGAACACTCCAGTCACTAGTGTGCCGTCTGGGTACTCTAGCTGGCCGGCACCATGAAACATTCCATCTTCAAAATCGCCTTCGTAGATAACTCCTATTAAATAAATTGTAAAACTTCACCGCGTTGAACGTTGGTATACGTCACAATTTCAGCTAACTTTAATTTTTTAGTTAAAATACACTAAGAGTGTACAAACTTATTACCCAATATTATCGCCTATAAATTGCGAGAACAGTTTGGCGAATGGAGACATTGTAAGACACATGTTACTTAAATGTGAATCAAGTTTATTAAAAAAAAGTTAAATAACTAAGAAATGCAAACCGTTTAAATGTTCACTTTTGTATATATTACAAGAGGATCACCCCGACAACTGTTCGAATTTAGAAAAATTCTTAAGTTGAATAGTCATTAATATAATAGATCTGGAAATATGTCTATTTCAAAATAGTAAAGACACTTATTGGATGGGTGTAACGAGTACATAACCTGGTGTAACGAGTACATAACCTGTATGTTACATACAAGTTATCCGACACTTAAAAAACAAGATTTATACTAAACTTATTAAGTAATTACCGTTAGGAAAAGTGTATGTTCCAGAGCCGCTCATGCCCAATATGTCCCAAGATCCTTCGTACTGGGACCCCGTAGGAAAAAATTTGGTCGAACGATAAGCTTGAGGTATTTTCAGTATTGTTTGCCTGTAGATAAATCGTCTCAAATCTCAAAATCTTTACAAAATTAATAGATTAAAACGACGGCTCGAAGTATGCTAAGACCTACACATCATCATTTTCATACGAGTGGCATTTAATGATGACACTATCAGAATGAATAGGTAATATTACCGATAAAAGACAAAATAGTGAGTTTAATGACCAGTAATAAGTGTGTACAATGTTTTCAAAGGTTTATGAAGTCTATAAACCTGTACGAGAATAGCGAGGTAGGTTATTGATGGGGCCTAATATTAGCCCCGTGTCTAGCAATATGACAATTTAATGCTTAGGCATACATTCCCTCCGTAAAATACTTGTACTTACCTACATTCCTTTTCATGTTCCCGAGAAAACTTTCTCATTAGCTCGTCCCATTGCGACACGCGCTTCTCCGAACAACAACTGTAAAACAACACTGCAATGAGACAAACATCTCTATTTACTTAAAAACAGTGAAGTCTGTTCTGTGACAGTATTGATACAAGTGCGTCCCATTTTTTTTTTAACTTTGCAGTGACAGTTGAGGTCTTTTAATTTTTTGGGAGAAATCATTTGGTAAAAAGTGTTTGGAACTTCTTTGTCGTCTAAATTGTTTTTGGTTCTGTTGAATCACACATCTTCTGAATTCGTTGGTTCATTTATTATTTTCTCAAAAACTTCGAAAATACGCTATAGACTTGTATGAAAATTGCAAACACACTTTTCATAATTTGAAGTAAACCCGTACTTTTAGGTACAATGGGCTCTGTTTATTAAAATAATTTCATTAATTATGTTTTATAAACACAATAATTACAATTGAGCGTAGCTTCGAACTTAACTGTATAAGCGCATGTTGGACAGTGGTTCGTGATCCTGCTTGATGAAAAAGAGGTGTGATTCCCACCCAAAATAAACGATAATTTGATGTGCACTATCATTGGATTCATGTCTGATTGTGATTTAAATCACAGAATAAAACAAATGTCGTAAGTAAAACCGTATTTTTAGGTACCATGGGCTGTGTTTATTAAAATAATTTCATTAATTATATTTTATAAACACATTAATTACAATTGAGCTTAGCTTCGAAATAAACTTGTATAAGCACATGTTGGAAAGCGGTTTGAGATCCTGATTGATGAAAAAGAGGTGTGATTCCCACCTAAAATAAATAATAATTTGATGTGCACTATCATCGGATTCATGTCTGATTGTGATTTAAATCACAGAATAAAACAAATGTCGTAGGTACAACAGTGTCCAGAGTACAACAGGTTGCCTTTATGATATTTCAGCACTTCTTCACTTTGACGATAAATTATACTCGTACAATTACTTAAATTTTGTGTAACCTGTAGCGGTAGGTCTTAATTATATTGGCCGCCAGAGAGTGGGGACCTCTGGTCGCTGATTGAATGTTGCGGTAGGGGATAGGATGGCGGCCTGATTGCATTAAGACGAAATTGGGCCGCCCGATTGAGGGGGGAAGTGATTTTCCCCTAGGATAGGGCCTGACTAGGCATGGTGTCAATTCGGGGAGGACCTGAAATAACATGGTCCAGGTCCTCCCAGAGTTTATTATATTGTCGTAAATTGAATTAGTTAATGCAATATTTTAAAGAGATTCAATTATAATGATCAATATTATTGTTTTCCGGATTTGGACGAGGTTTAGCACATAGATAAATTATAGTTTAGAATAGCACAGAGGCTACTATTTATTTATTTACAAAAAAAATATTGATAAAATTTATTGACAAAATGGACATACGAACGAGCGAGGCAACATTTAAGTACAGATTTCATTTAAATTGTCTCTAAGGTATAGTTTTTAACTTACGTAGGCGAACACAGCATTTTACACCAAACTGTGAATAAAACAAACAAATCATTTCATCATCTTTCCAAAAAACAAAACATCGAAGCAACATTGTAGCAAATCCTTATGGGATTCAATAATAAGAAAAGTTATTCAGAAAATTAGGACAGGGAACAATTTAAGCCAAGCAATTTGTTGTAATTGTAAATACTATACATAAATATTATACATAGAAAACACCTAAACTCCGATACAAATATCTGCAGATCACACAAACATTTTATTTCATTTTTTCCTATGTCCAGCAGTGGACTAGTAAAGGCTGTTGATGATGATGATGACACAAACATTTGGTATAACCCGGGAGTCGAACCCGAGACTTCAGCACAGCAGTCGCATACGCTACCACTGCTCCACCGAGGCAGTTAACTAGTAACTCAATAGATAGTTCTTCTTCAATTACGAAAGTATTTTGTTAATACTCGTAGTGTTTTTTACAAAATCTTCATCTTCCAGCAGTGGACTAATAAAGGCTGTTGCCTTTATTATTCCACTGCTGGAAATAGGCCTCTTCTTAGAAAGGAGGTTTTAGCTTACTATACCACGCTAGCCAGACAGGTTGGTCTGGGATTTGTGTCAAGTTTTAGTTCTCTTTGCAGTGCTGTTGTATGCGTAGCTAACTTTTTTTGTCGGTGCTTACGACACCTACGGGATGAATCAATCAATCAATCAATCAATCAGTTTATTTTCATTGCGAACATGGGTTTACAATTAGGTGTTACAGTTATAATATTTTTTTCTGCCACATTCTACCTTTAGGCATGCAATAAGATAACATTAATAACGAGTTGGGCTTATTTAATACATCATACGAGGTCAGAATTCTATTTTATGTCAATATCAATTAAAATAACAATTACAATTATATTATTAAAAAAATTAAAAATGTCATAATCATAATAAACAATGTATCACATTTATTAAAAAAGTGTATTAATAGAGGGTATGGTGTAGTGTAGTATTAAAAACATGCATTCTATTATATTTTCTCCGTTAAAAACTCAGTTACAGAATAGTATGCTTTCATTTCTAAAAATTCTTTTAACTTGCACTTGAATGCACTTATGCTCAAGTTTTTCCATTGTTGCGGTAAATGGTTATAAATTACTGGAGCCATACAGAAAACACTTCTACGCATAAGCACAGTTTTTGCTTGGAGTAGGCGCAGTCTACTATTATCACGCCTGTTCCGTGTAACCGTATCCTCAAGCCGCGGAAATAAGCCTGGATTTGTTTTAACAAACATTGACATTTCCAAAATATAAATGCTTGGCAACGTCAATACTTTATACCTCTGAAAGTAAGTTTTACAGCTATCACTTGTTTGTAGTTTAAACATTGACCGTATGCATCTCTTTTGACACTTAAAAGCAATTAATGTATCTGTAGAGTTACCCCAGAAAATGATGCCGTAGCGTAAATTTGAGGCAACTAAACCGTAGTATGCGGTCATCACTGTTTCTGTATTGACGATTGACGTTAACGTATGCAAAGCGTATGCAGAACTACATAATTTTTTGCAAAGCGTCTCTATATGTGATTTCCAATCTAGTTTTTTATCTATCGTTAACCCGAGGAACTTCGAAGTCGTAACATTTTCTATACTATGATTGTCAATGTTTATATTTTGGTATATATAACTGATTGGAGCGATCCGTTGACTGAAATGTATAATCTTAGTTTTATTTAAATTGATTTTTAAATTGTTAATGTCAAGCCAGTTTATTATGGATGTCAAGGAATTCGTAATGTCATATTTATATTGAGTTATATCATTATTACAAGATATAGTAATTGTGCTATCATCTGCGAAAAGCGTTACAGTATTTTTTGTACATTTTGGAAGGTCATTAATATATAATATAAAAAGCAAAGGTCCCATTACGCTCCCCTGAGGGACACCGTACAAAACTTTCCGCTCATCTGAAAGATATAGCTCCTCTCGTTTAGTAGTGGGGTTTATTATTGCTATTTCTGTACGTTGTTTTCTGTTCTCCAAATACGATTCGAATAACTTTAGGACATTACCTCTCACTCCATACGCATCTAGTTTTCTAATTAATATATCATGTTTTACATAATCAAATGCCTGTGTCATATCACAAAATATTGAGCATACAGGTATTCGTTTGTCTACTTTCATCATAACTTCATGAAGAAAGTTGAAAATTGCCAAATTCAAGGTTTTGTTTTTACGAAATCCATTTTGTTCATTGCACAATAGATTATTTTTTTCCAGATATAGGTACAGTTGCGTATGTATGAATTTCTCAAATATTTTGGAGAATATGGGAATTAAAGAAATAGGCCTATAATACTTCATAAGCTCCCTATCCTGTTTCTTAAACACTGGTTTTACAATTGACTGTTTAAGGGCATCAGGAAAAATACCCGAGGTTATACATAGGTTCATAATGTGACACAGATGACCGCTTATTTCATATGCTACAACTTTAATGACCTTAGTAGTTATTCCATCATATCCAACGCTGTTCGTGTTTTTAAGCTTATGAATTATACTTAATATGTCTTGCGGTACACATGGGGACATGAACATAGATTTGCTTGTACTTAAAATGGGTGGCGTGGTTTTTAGAGACGTTGTTTTAGGCTGTATTTTATCGATAAAATAGTTATTAAATTCATTCGATATTTGTATTGGATTCGTAATAATAGTGTCATTTATTTTTAATCTATTTATCAAAGATTTTGGTAAATTTAATTTCGCCTGATTAATAATTTGCCATGTCGTTTTATTTTTATTCCTAGAATTATTAATTTTGTAATCATTTTGTGCTCGTTGAGTTAGAAACATAATTCTTTTTAATAATTTTGAATATGATTTGAAGCGGCATTTATTTTCTGGGTTTGGCTTTAATCTTTGTAGCCATAGTAACTGCCTTTTCTTTTTGTTACATTTTTTTATACCACTTGATACCCATTTTGTCTTTTTAATTATATTTACCTTAACTCTAACTTTTGGGAAACATAAATTATAAAACAGTTCAAAGTCCTCTATGAAACTGTTGTAAGCCATATTTGGATTGAGGGTATTATAAATTTCAGAAAATTTTATAGCATTTAGACAGCTTTTAAATTTTAATAAGTTTTGTTGATAATAATTGCGTCTAAACCTATAATATTTATCAATTTTGCATACTTTATCAGTCGGGCATTTTATTAGCTGCGCTGTATGGTCAGAAAGAGCAAACTCTATAATCTCCGTTTTGCAAGGCTTATTAAAATTATGCGCAAAGTTGTCAATACATGTATGGCTCCTAATACGAGTCGGTTGGTATATCGCAAGTTTAAGGTTAAAGTTGAGCAAAATACGTTCAAATTCAAGTGACTGGTAATTCGATTTTAAAACATTAATATTGAAATCGCCAGCCAAAACAATATTTTTATATCGTCTTTTTGTGGCTACTTGTAAAAACACTATGTAACCTACTGAAAAAATCGTTCAAATTTCTCATATTTGGTACTCTATAGATACAAATAATAGCAACATTAGATTTAACAATTTCTACGGCACTGCACTCAAAAGTTTCCGGTATTGACATTCTTGATATCCTCTATAGTTCCTTCCATTCATATCCTTTTCTGACAAGAATGCATGATCCACCTCTTTTAGTATTTTTTCTGCTGTAATGTGAAGCTAAGACATAGTTAGGTATATTTAACAAGGATTCGCAGCCTTCTGACATAAAGTGTTCAGTGATGCATATTATATCAACATCAATTCCTTTGTCTGTTAATTCATTTATACATACTGTCAAGTTGTCGGACTTGTTTATCAAATCAGCTATATTTTGATGCATTACGTATATGTGTCTAGTTTCGAAAAATACAGTTATTCGAAGCTGTTTTCTGATTGTAAAGCATATTTACATCACTCGTGTCATTAGATTTTCCGTCAGGAGATTGTTTGTCAGTCAAAGGTATGTAAGAATATTGAAGATAGGTATTAATATTATTAATCATATCAAAAATGTCTCTAAACATTGTCAGTATTCCAAAATTATTAATTACGCCTGTACGATAATCAAACATTGTGTCGTCATAGCTTAGGTTTTGGTTTGAGTCAAAAAAATACGCATGTTCATGAGTCAGTATGTCTAGGTATAGTAGATTGTTAAAAGTTTCAACTCTTGAATTGTATAGATTAGAATAATTTGTAAATTTATAAGTTGGCGTACATATAATTGTATTGGTGTGAGTAATTTCAAGCAGTACCTTTCTTATATGCAATATTATGTCAAAATAAATATTAGTCATCCTAAAGTCATCCTCACCCAGCAGAATTAAACAATAGTCTTTCATTGTGTAATTACACAGCTTCTCCTTCAAATTATTTAGCATAGATTGTATATTTCCATTAGTTACTATGTAATGGCACAATTCTGAACCCTTCAGTGTCTTTTCTGCTACAGACAATATCTTATTTCTATTATTTGTGCTAAGTATACATATTTTATTTTTTGCCATACGTTCCTTTTCATTTTGTGATTTTAATAGACTGTTACATGGTGTTAGTTTTGATTGCCGGTCCTCGTCTAATAGTTTAGTATGAGGGGTAGTCTGCGTTTGTTTATTTTGTAAGACTTTGGGCATGTTCTCATTCGAATGAACAACATTTGTGTCAGCGTCACAAGATGATAAATTTACGCGCCTTGTAAGTTGTCTTTTACGTGTTGATGTGGGGGTTCTCGAGGTTGGACATTGCGGTGAAGAGCATAATTTTTTGTAGGCATCTATTGTTTTAAGTGACTTTTGTAGATCAGTTTTTAGTTGCATATTTTCGCTGTTTAAGTTGTCTATCTCTTGATTTGCGCTCAGCAATTGCATGCTTAATTCTTGTATTTTTTCATTCAAACCACTTATTACCATGTCAGCTCCACTTTGATTCTGTAAGCTATGTTGGATGCTCATTACGGTTGAATTGAACAATGATTCCTCATATTTATTTGTATTACTTTCTATAGATAGATCATTGAGTGAGCTTGTTCTACGAGGTTTGCGATACGTTATGTTATTAATTTCGAAATCCATATTTTTGCTTGTTGTTTCTTAGTAGCGCCCTCTGTTATTAATGTAATGTATTTTCTTTTTAGTACAGTTATACAGTTCTTACTTTTTGCATTTATAGTTTGATGTTGTTTAAATGTTCTACCAAATAATGTTAGTTTTTACTTGAAAACATGGGATAGTCCTACAAAAAGACATCGACATGCGTGGTTCGAACCGACACCCCCTTCGTCTTATACCCGTAAGATCGACATGCGTTCACGTTACGCTACAAGAAGCTTAGCAAATCTTGTCAAATTACGCACTACATTAAATGCAAGTGACTTTTAAAAGGGAACTTGTCGGTTACTATGATTCATAACATAAGAATTTTTTCCACATTCTTAACACTTTGTCACAGTAACCAAGATCACTTTTTATTATAATTGTCAATTTATTCAGCGTTTATTACACATTGAAGGTTATTATATTAATTTTTATTGACATTTTTCACTGTTTATGTTAACTTTTTCACTGATAATTAAATATTTTTAGTTTTATAATGTTCACTTTTATTTTATGTACTACTGATTATACAAGTTTGCTAACATTCACACACTTTTTATTTACTATTTCACAATATATTAAGGTAAAAACAATAATGATAACTATTTAAAACTACTAATTTTTAAAATTTTTACGCAGAGCTCTTTTGGTTCCGTCTTTGCCAGATAGCGCCATCTAGCGATGAATACGGTTGATGACACTTCATATACTTAATTCGTCACCATACGGATACTTATACTCGTCAGCTATCTTATTTTACTTGTAACACGAAATGGGAGTTATTTGAAGGGCTTCGACTTCTCAGTCACAGTCAGTTGGAGTTACAAGTATGCAAACCTAACCTATTGGAGCTATTTCTTAAAATCCCCAATTCTGGATAAATTGGGTAGCATGATTGGCAGTAAAAGCATTTAAGCAAAATTACTTTGCTACCATTACCTTTCTATCTTACTCGTAAAATCAATTTTTCCTTATAAATAGAAATATAAATATTTCCCATTCAATTCTTAAAGTGATCGGTTGACGGCAAATTTGTTTTAAATTGAAAAAAAAAGTACAATACCTCTCTGTCGACTTCTTCGGTAATAAAAAACGTGTATATAATACTAGTCTACAACTTAGTCTGCGTCTGTCATTAGGAATAAATTTCCCCGTTTTTTCACTGATGCTGGGTTCCTATTAGTCGTAGCGTAAAGTTATAATAAATAGCCTTCTTCTATAGCCTATAGTCTTAATCGATATAGGAGCTATTCATCACTTAAATAATTTTTCAATTACAACCAGTAGTTACAGAGATTAGCGCGTTCGCTCAAACAAACAAACTCTTAAAGGTAAATAATATTAGTAAGAATATATGCTAATTTATTAAAACAAAAAATTGTTTTATGAATAGAGACGTTTTGACCCGTCATTCTAATTTTGACATCAATTGGGACTGGTCAAAGAATTCAAGTAACCAAGAGTCGTAGTCTAAGATTCAAGACAAAGATGACGGGAAATCCGTTGGAGAAATGAACACCATTGTGTCAAAGCTTAGTATTCAACATGCGAGCTCGGTCATGGTCGCAAGTGGTGTCGCATGCATTATTTATAATGAAAGAGTGAAACTTAGATCGGACAATCAGTTTATTGAACTTAAAAGGGATCTTAGATGTGTCCGGTTAGGAAAAAGTCGTAGATCCTTTATCTAGAACACGTACGTGTAATAATTACTATCCGATTGTTAGTACATAATTGATTAGTTTAGTAGCTTAGGATAGAAGCGAGCAAAAATTTACCTTAAATATTAATAACAATTAGGTTTGAGATTGATATGTCTAGGTAGACTGTAAAAGGGTCGAATAAATTGTTGTTGGCCACTAAGTTCTTTTCCTATTTGTGTGTGAGCAGTGTTGTAAATTTTATTTTAAATGCTCGATTCGCACACATATCAGAGCTCGATAAATGTAGATTGTTTGTTTTAGTTTTTATTTGTAAAGTGACACTTAAACAAATACATGATCCGAGCAATGCAGATTTATCAAACGTAGGGAATAAACCTTTTTTATTAATATTGATAATAGGAAGTCGAAACTCATCAACAGCTACAAACAAAGAAAAAAGAAAATCTGTTGATTAACATTGAAGAAGAGGACCTGTAGTGTTGTCTTTGACAGATTATTAATTACTAGCTGCAACTATTATTTATTCAGCAATGTTAAAGAAAACTGGTCAACAGAACGGGTGTTTCAAAGTATAAAGGCATTTAAGTAATACCAAGACCTGGGTTCTGTATAATGTAAATTGTGTATCGTAAGTTGCCACTACGAAGTACGTAAAACGAAAATTCCAAGAGAAAAACGAAGCCTTGCCTATAAACGTATAGAGGTAAAAGTATTACAGCTCAAATTGAATGGGAAATTCAAATCGGACGTTTTGCGAAACGAGCGAACAAGCTGTGCGACAGCAGGCAAGTGGTATCAGAACGGCTCAAAAGTTCTCTTATATGAATACATTTCCAACGGCACACCCGGCCAAAGTTTATTTAAATATATATGAATTTTCAATACGCAAACTTACCAAACTCTGTATAATATTTAGACAGACGGGCCTGTTGGTCTAATGGTCAGTGATACTAAATGCTAAGCCAGGGAGGCGGGGGCTCTATTCCCACATAAGACTGAGGCAAAAGTTTGGGATCAGACGGCTTTGTCTGATATGTGAGGTTATTTAAAGGTTTTATTGTGCTCATCGGCGTAGAAGTGTTTGTTACTCTTTGAAGTTGTGTAAGTAATTTACCATGACTTTAAATGGATATTTTACTAACTTTTAAACTATCGCACATTAGTAACGGAATCTTAGAATCATTTTCACTAACTTCAATACGTTCGGTTCATTGAAACTTGGCACATTTATGAAGAGCCGATGGCAATACAATAACTTAATAAGATTGTCCTGCTTAGATTTTTTTGCTTAGTATCTTAAGGATTAACGACTTTTCGGTATCTGAAAACACGGTAATGTCTTGTCCATGTACTAAGGCGTGTAGAGAAGCATATTTGACTCCATTACTAGTTACTTTTTTAGTCTTTAATGATAAAATAATCATCATTAAAGACTAAACACAAAACAGATAAATACCAGTTAAATGAAACTAAAAAAAAGCTTTAGTAACTAGCTCAACTAATCCAAAGAAGAAAATAACTTACTATAATTTTTAAAATAATAGTGATACTAATAAGGAAAATAATGTAGTGCTTTTTCAGATATTTTATGATGTAAGTATACCTTTACTTTTACCAATATCTGTCAATAAAATATGTACGCTAATTGACATCTAGCACCTTATGCTTTTCACAAACAAAGTGTATTTTTTTGGTTTTATATACTAACTAATATTAGTTAGATATAAAATCCATTTGGACAATCGAGTATTTTATCAGTATGTAGAAATATGTATACTAGGATACTTGTATAATGTAGTATTGTTGTATATATGCGAACATTATCATAATTTATTTTTAAGACTTGCTTACGAATCCGTGTAGTGACGGATTAAGAATACGGAATGTCACTACCCCAATTCATCCCGTGGGTGTCGTAAGAGCCGACTAAGGGCGCAAAACAACGTAGGACACCAGCACTGCAAAAAGAAGAAAAACGACACAAATCCTATACCAACCCGTCTGGCCAGCGTGGTATAGTAGGCCAAAACCTCCTTTCCAAAGAGAGGCCTATGTCTAGCAGTGGATCATTAAAGGCTGTTGATGCGTGCTTACGAATTTTCTAAGAACAAAACAATTACATATGCCTTCTAGAGACTTGTGTAGTAGTGGGTTAAAAAGCTCTTTATCTATCGTTATCTATTGATGACCGGATGAAATGTTTTCTATTGTAATATTAAATGGTTTCTCGCCAAATTCTGACAGAGGGCGAAACTGAAAAAGCTTTAAATGTCATTGACTATCATGTTGATTATCACAACTGAATACAATCTCTTGCTTTTAGTTCTTAAGCTACTACAACTAAGATAATAACAAAGAAATTTGTAGACTTACAAGGCTTGAAAAGCTTAAAAATAATAAATTTTTGATAAATAAAATATATATCTATACTAAGAAGCTCTTGACAAATGCATTGTTGTCATTCCCTGGCAACCCGGTAACAAATTTTATTTTCATAACAGAGCGACACTGTTATTCGGGTAGATACACCGGGTACCAAAGAGTATGCAACCACTACAGATATCTATCACTATAGATGTTACTATTTATTTATCGTAATAACTTAAACATTTGGCGCGTTGGGCATTTTTGAAAAAATAATGTATGAAAAATTATTGAACTCGCGCCACTGTTACCGTTACCGACACATCTGTATATAAGTATCTAGTACCAACATAAATTGGCCCTGTTTGGCCCGAGAGTTGAGTTTGGGTTGATGCATTGATAATATAACTCAATATGATTTATAAATATGTTGTACATACAACAAAGATACATATTCATGTCGGAACTATTCTTGTTATAATAAAAAAAAACAAGTTTTCACAACGGAGTTTAGACTTTCACCCGGAGTGCCACTGTTTTTTTTTCCTTCGGATGACGGCTAATACCAGTGGTAAAAATCACTCAGAACAATATTTTAGGTTTTCCTGATGTGATCATGTGCTCGGTGCTCGGATACAGAAGTCACTGTAGGAGACCGTGCCCTTTTATGGCTTAGAAGACAATCGTGGAGACGAGTCACCTGATGGCCAAGTGCGAGTTTATATCGAGTACGATTGGCCCGCGCTAAAATCTCCACGCCGTAGAGAGCGATTCGATGTGAAATAAACTTGCACTCGGACCTCTGATGGTAAGTAACTACCACTACTCATGCATACCTGCCACTCATGAGTCACAAGTTCGTGCCTTTGACGTGGAAGTACGCTCTTTTCTTGAAGGCTTGAAGGTCCTATACGACTGGAAACACCACAGTCGACAATTTCGTTGTGCGAGGCAAAAATAACTTACAATTAACAGAAACAATCTATTATTAAGACCGATTGTCTAACAAAGTAGTTATTTTCACGAAAGGTGAAATAGTTCCTAAAATAGGTTTCTCCTATTAATTCAGCTTTTCTCATAAAGTCGTTTCAGCTCCGTACAGTCAGTTATTCCAGTTATCCAAATCACAGACTTAGGCCTGTATTTTAAAAGGTGTCGCAGTCGTGAATCTACTCTTAAAACTAATTTTAAGTAGAAATTTTATTATTGAACGTCACTTAAAACGACATTCACCGATCCATACTCTAGTGAGTAATAGCTTATCTTAGAACGATGTTTACGTCGAAATCTTAACTCAGCTATAGATTTTGACAGATGTGATCTTTGTTTACGTGAGACAAGCAGAAACTAGTTTCAAGCGGTGATCTATAGGGTATTTTAGGGTATATGAATGTTTTTTAGGTTGATTTGTTTCGGAATGATTATATGTACTTATACTTGAGACGTCTTTTTAAATAAGGGCCTTACTCTTTTATTTTATAATGCCTGAAATTCCTGTAAAACAACTTAGAGGGGCGCTTTTATGTTCGTACCAGAATAGAAGGACGGAGCCTTAATTGGAGTCTATTCTTTTAAAAGTGGAATGCAATCAGTTCATGACTTACTAATTCTGTTTGCGAAGGTAAGTGCTAAGAGTTTTCCGAGAGCAACTCATAAACAAAGCCTATGCCCTGTGGATCAATCAATATGAAATGGGGCAAACTAATACCATTATTTCTCGGAAACTTTCCTCGTATACACGTGCTTGGAATTTATTACGAAATATTGCACTTTATCCACGAAGAGACGTGTTTTATTAGCTGTGGCTAAGAAAACGGCGCTCGGTAACAGACACTGCATTGTCCCCGTACATATTGTCCCCACACATTAATAATTAGTTACGTTGGCTGTGTGCGATTCGTTCCAGAGAAAGTCCCTAACACAATGCAGGTCGACAAATTTATATTTGCAGTTGCTAAAGCTAATCTATTAGAGGTTTCAGGACATTTCATTTCGTTTCTTGTGACGCTTTTCTTTGGCATCTGAAAATTTTTGATTATCTGTTAGTTTTGCAGTTTAATATTAGAAGTTGACATTTATTTCGTTTTTGCTAAGGTTGAGATTTGGGAATCGACAGAATTTTTAATTCACAAGGGTCATATTCGTATTGGACTGGTTCTTTTGTTTCCTGTATCCTAGTGAAAATGAATTCAGTGGGACAATGCCCTCGAGTTTTATCTGAATGGACGCGACTGATGCAACTCCGTATTTTAGTTCAGGTTCGTTATAGTTTTACGAGCTCTCTCTGTGTCTCTTACTGTATCTTTTCATGATACCATCAAAAAGAGTGTTATGAATATATGTTTATATGCAGTAATTTTATTAAAGTATACACAGTATTTACTAGAGATACCTAAATTGGAGTGATGTTTTAATTGTATTTTTTCATTGTTTGATGGTCGTAATAAATAATATTTTTATAGATACATATATTCAGGTATGGAACCCCGATGGTGTAGGCAGAGATGAATCATACATCCACATTTGGTTCCACTATCGCAATGCAGGACAAACCTACTGTCATTAACCGCACAATGGCAACTAAAGATGGGACATTTGGCAATATAGGGCAATTTTGGGGAAGTGCTAAGTGCAAATGTTGAGTTTAACTGAATATCACTACTACTGTTAAATGGGTAAAAAGTTATTAATTATTCATCATAACGTTGTCATCATAATAATTATAATGATTACTGACAGATCTGATGACGTGAACTTATTTCGTCTCTACATCTTTCTTTAGCATAGGATTCGGTGTTCTGTGGCGCATTAAACTTAAACCTTAGATCATTGAAATGTCTATATGGTGTCGCTCTACAAAACAAGCAAAATAAACAGACTAACTTTATTATGCTGATGTGCGTCCAAATCGAGAGTTTAAAGTAGTAGCGACAATCCAGTTTATACACACAATGGAATTTAGTGGCCAACATTGGGACTAATCCCACCCACACGCCCACCACTGTAACTCCTGTACACCAGGATCCACAGCAGTGACCCACGAACACACCGAGTTATGACACTCGGGAAGTCCCAGGAAGAAATTAAACTGTCTTGGAACCCGCAACGAAATTAATCAGAAGAAAATTGGAGGAGTTGGAAATACAGTAAATCCACTTCCCTCCTTAGCAAAGCGGGAGACAAAATGAAGTAAAATAGGCATACACCCTTTTAAACAGGGAAGCACCACGGCCACCAAATATTACGGGTCCTACATGAGCTATATTTGATTTCTATAATATGTATGGCAGAATCGCCTAAACGCACGGAAATTCACCCTAGTTGACACAAGATCCCCATAGTATACCGCCCCAGATGTCACCTGCAAGCTATTCAGCATTATATTACGTTCATTATACCAAAGACTACATTCCCAGAGGATATGATGAGCAGACTGTTCATAATGAGAGTTAGGTGTTGAGCATTGACACAATGGTGACTCGACTAATTTAAATGAATACAACTTGCTCTTAAAGTTACCATGACCCGTAAGAAATTGAGCGACACAGTGATCCACCTCAAGCCATGTCCTCGACAACCGTTCGCGAACAGATGGAAAAAATTGGTAAAGATGGCGCCCCTTGGATGATTCGTCCCAGCGTTGCTGCCATTCGTCTATGAGGTCATTATAGACATCGGACTGCTGTTGAAGCAATCTTGTAATTTTACCGCGATCCCGCGCGCCCAAGAAATCGCATTCCATGTTTTGTCTTGAATAGTACATGGCTGCACGTCTCTGCACCTCGAGATCGACCGGAAGGACACCTGCCAACACCGGCAAAGCCTCAGTGCTAACCGTCCTATATGCCTTGCACAAAAATATCAGTGCAAGTCGTTGGCCTTGTAACAGTTTGCGACGGACAGCGCCTACGGTCGCCCTATCGGCCCATACAGGTGCACCATAGCACATAGAACCTAAATAAGTAGCTCCGTATATGATCTTTAATGTATTAAATGATAGACCCCATGTCGCAGTTGATATCCTTGTCAATGCACAGAAACTCTTTTTAGACTTTTCATTAACTATTTTAATATGTTCGATAAATGAAAAGTTTCTTTCTAAAACTAATCCTAGATAACACACTGTGGTTTTATTTTTTACAGTGACATTGTCAAATCTAATGCTCGGCGGTGATTTGAGGTTACCTTTTAAAAGTAACTGGAAGGTTTTGTTGGGTGCAAAAGTTAAGCGATTACGTTCACCCCATTGAGATATCAAGTTCAAACATCTATTGGCTAATCTCTCAAGCCCCGCCCTAGTATCAGATTCCACCAGTAATAAGCCGTCATCAGCATACGCGTTCAGAGTACATCCGGATGGTATTGGTATCGTAAGAAAATCGTCGAAGCCGATATTCCACAAGTATGTCCACAAGTATTTAGTGGCCAACAGTTGGAGACTATTTTTTTTCGACGATTATGAAAGAGTCACAGCTTTTATAGCCAATCTAGACACATTAATTTGATTTATCTAGGTCCTAAGCCTGGATTCTAGTCTATTCTATATAGGTACTTTTAAGGAAAATAATATCATAATCGGTTAAGTAGTTTCAGAGTGATAGTGTGATAACAAATAGACTCAAATTCGTGTTCACATACTTAAAATAATACAATTCCTTTTATTACTAACTATTTAATGTCTAAATATATCTTCATTCTATCATCGAATAACTTAACAAGAGTTACAAGACGTACAACCTCATTCTAAGGCTATTGTTATATCATATTACTCAAATCGTTACCAATTTTCGTGTGCGAAACACGATCTAATCTAATCATATTTAATTTAAGCTATGTTCACACACACGAGGATACATAAATTGTTTGTTAATTTACGCTGAGACAACATATTCAGAGGAGACCGGTCTTAAGCAATTCTTTCCTAACTTTTCACCGAATAAAGGAGGTTACCTGTTGCCCGTCTTCTCGTTTGCCTCCTTCAGAACAAAAACGTTTTAGTGTACAACGTAATAATAATAAAAAAATAGTTAAGAGGATTTTTTATGAAATGTGTGTGTTTTCCTTTGTAATTTTAGTAGCTTCGTAATGAGTGATGTATAATTAGGCAAAGAAGCATTATATCCTTTTTGATACCGAATCTTTTTTGTAACTGAATTAGTTCCATTTTGAAAGTAGTTTTCAATATTACGCATTTTGACTATTTTTTATTTGTAAGTTGGTTTGAAAATGTTTCAAAAAGATAAAATTAATTAACAAAATTTAATTAAATTTATCTTAAGTTAAGCTTATACCATCAGTTGAATTATGGGTTGACTATTATAAAACTAAAGGGTATTTCAATAATCATTTAAATAAACACTAAATTCAGTTGTGTCCTAATCGAGATTTAGCTTGCTACTTTAAAATCTGTAAAAAAATGTAGTAATGTATAAAGACCTTATCAGCCGCCATATTGCAAAAGCACGAAAAAAAGTTTCTTGAGCGCATCATTTCTCACGATGACGGATTGCGTCAACGGTGAGCACGCGATCTGCAAAATCATAGACTAATTAATTTTTATAATGTTTGTGTTATATTCTTTGTGGTCGTAAAACGAGCAGTGTTATTGCTGCATACAATTATTGTGAATTATTTTCAATTGTATATGAACTCGTTAGCCTTAGATTGGGTTTCTGAAGTGTCACAAATGTCACAATGTCACCTCATCTTAGTTACATGATGCCACAGACCATATAATGTCACTTTGCATCATTTTGTGTTTTTTTAAATGTGATTGCATTGCATTGATGTAATTAATCTTGTTTTTTTTTGGAGAATAAAACCTATTCTTTTTCTTTTAGTATTAGCTTAAAGAATTAACTTTTTTGATATCCGCGTGGTAACGGATTAAAAATACGGAGTGTCATCACCCCTATGCATCCTATAGGGTTCGTAAGAGGGGAAAACGCAAACTATTACTACTACTTGACACAATCCCTATACCTATCCGTCTGGCAAGCGTGGTATAATAGACCAAAACCTCATTTCTAAGAACAAGCCTATGTCCAGCATGATATGATAACTTGTTTTTATGGTTTAGTTTTTTTAAAGTAACTATCTTATCGCACATCGCAATCGCAAACCATTTGCAGCAAAAAAGGGTAATTATATATTTTTTTATGATATAGGAAACAAACGAGAAGAAAGGTCACCTGATGATAAGTGACTATCAGACAGACAGAGACAAGATTGAGCCGGATTTTTTTGTAAGCCATTCCACGTGACATAGAGAACACAACAGTTTTCGACGACTAATTTTTATAATAGTATTTTATCTTCAAAAGAGACAAAAATAATCGTGTTTTTCAATAGAGTGTTCATAATTTGTAAGCCGAGAAAGATATATTTAGTATTCCGATCGTTTTAACTTCTAAAACATAAATCAAAATCAATTTCATTCCTGGGTTATTTATAAAGAGGTTTATGATGTGTAACCAGTAATAAACATCTACCACATTCTTATCTAATACAGTAATTTAATAAAGAATAGAAGTTTCTCGAATAACTTTTGACTGAAATACAGCGTGGGATGATCACGGTTACAGAACTTGCGAATACAGGCTAGACTAATATTTGCTTGAATAAATATGGTTTTTTATATCATATGATAGGTATAACATCATATTTATATACGTATATTTTTATTCCGTGTCATAGGAGTCGACTCAGGGAGAAAACTACGCAGGACAACAGCACTGCAAAGAGGAAAACTTGAAACAAACCCGTCTCGCACGAGTGGTGTACTCGTAGTAGGCCTAAACCTCCTCTGTAAGTAGAAGCCTACGTCCAGCAGTGGACTA